ATCGGTTGTTGGGACCCGGGGCTGTTCTGAGGAGCAGCTTGTGGACGGGAGGCTGGCCAGGGGAGGAGGCTCAGGCCTTGCACTCAGTGGTCTAGGAGGGCACGTGGCTGTGGAGCACCCCAGCCGGGAGAGGGAGCAGAGCAGCCGAGAGCGTCTGGCAGGAGATGGTGGCTCCTCTTCTAGTGGAGGCAATGTGGGAGGGGGAGGGGGAGGCAGTGGAGGTACTCAGTTTAAAAGCCGCAGTCAGAGCTTTAACACAGATACCACCACCAGCGGAATCAGCTCCATGAGCTCCAGCCCTTCCAGGGAGACCGTTGGAAACCCCGCGCATCCAGAGCCCGAACCAGACTCTTCTGACTGTGTGAGCCTTAACACAGTGGTGTCTGCCAAGACTGTCAAAACACTCTCCTCCCTCACCCCCCAGTCTCAGGCCAACCACATGTCCACGTCTAAGTCCTCTACTGTCTCTCTAGTACCGCCCGGCTCCTCACACACTCTCCCCCGCCGAGCTCAGTCCCTCAAGTCCCCTTCAGTGACCACTATCAAAAGCCTGGCTGACTGTAGCTTCATGTACACCAGCCCAAGAGATGCACTGGGCTACGCTACGTTGAAAAGGCTGCAGCAGCAGAGAATACACCCATCTTTGTCTCACAGTGAAGCACTGGCTTCACCTGCCAAAGACGTGCTGTTCACTGACACCATCACTATGAAGACTGGCAGCCTGGACTCCAGACTAACTCCCCGCAGGTCAGTCAGCCATCACTGCAGTGACTCAATGATAGAAAGCTGCAAATGAACGTATCAATTTTCCTTTTGTCTACATCAATGTGTTTATTACTTTTTTAATGATATGTTAATTGTTGCATGAATGGAAAGCTGTGTGTTTACTCATGCTAGAGACGTGCATCCTTTTGTGCTACCATACCTTAAGCAGCTAGTTCTCTGGAGTAGGGTTCTATTTTCTGTCTGCTTTGGCAATGACAGGTGTGAATGTGTTTTTGTGCACATTCTGCCATGTGTGTCAGGATATCAGATAGGAGGGGTACCTGTCCAGAAGCCAGCGACTTATGTCCATACCGCAGACTGTCCAGATCACTTGTACCGCGGTGGGTGGACCTACCCAGTGTCCCCCTTTGTAAAGATGTAGCTTCCAGGTCTGATCCAGACAAACATGTCCTTGCTGTTTTTACTTTAGTAGCAGCTCCAGCTCTGTGCCTCCACTTGTTTACCATTGCTTTGACTCCTGTAGCCCTGGAGTGTAAGCACTGTCTAGATTGGTCAGTTGCTGGTTGTTCCTTCCTCAAAGCCCAAGGTAATGTTTTCAAATAGATTCCTTTTGTCTGAGTAGTTTTGATTAGTTAATTGTTTAGTCAGAAAACAGCAAAGAATGTATATCACTAGTTTGTAGAGGCCAAACTGAAGTTTTAAATTGTTTGCTTTGTCAATAGTAGAGATATTCAGTGATACACAACAGCAAATCCTCACATTTTAGGAGCTTGAACCAGCATATGTTAAGAATTTTTGCAAGAAAAAGAAAAACAATTAAAAAACAATTGTTTTTTAGTATAAAGACAGATTAATTTTCTGTGCTTTGCCCTAACAAAGACATTATGGTACATATTTGTATTACATATTGCTATTAAAAATAGGCAGTTATAGAACCTTTAGGTTGTACTGATGGACTCTAAACCCTTTTTTGACCCCTTGTATGGATGTTTTTCCATTGTGAAGCTACAGACACCTGGCCATTGGTTGCTCTGCTATATTTTAAAGCTCTGGCAGTCGTACCATACATTTGATTGACATGTGTCCTCTGCTGTGCTTTTACTTGTGGCTGCTGTCCTGATAGCTTGCTACAGTGTGTTGGGGTTTAGAACTTGATGTGACCCCCTTCTCACTCCCTGATTACTAAGTTTCTGTCTTTGTGCTTTTGTCCAGTGTCTTTTCACTTACTCCCTGTGTTCTTTTTCTGTCCCAGCCTCTCCCCCCGGATCCTTTCACGCACCTCTCCTCTTGCCCTCCCTAGGTTTCTCAAAGCTCTGAGCTTTGCCTCTCTGGATAAAGAGGAACTACTCAGTCCCATCAACCAAAACACCTTGCACCGCTGCTCATCAGTGCGCTCCATGGTCTCTAGCGCCACCTTTGGGTGCAGCGATGACTACATTGGCCTAGCACTGCCTATGGACATAAATGATATGTTCCATATCAGAGACTCCGCCTACTTTCAGCAGAGGATCAGCCCACCTTCCGAAGAGCGGAAACGCTTTCTCTTTGGCGACGGAGATGGTAAACGTAACATTATGCCTGATTAAATAATAATTAATCACAGTAGACACTTTGAAACACATGGGTGTGTTTGTACTTACTATGGTTCTTTTCTCTGTAGGTGATCGCCCTGCCCTGCCAATACTGAAGCAACAGTTCAGTATCTCTGAGCTGATAGTGTGCCGAGGCGACAGCCAGAACCACATGGTGGGTTCAGAGGAGACGGGACTGCAGGATCATACTGAAGAAAATTGTCTCTACTGTGTAGGAGCCATTGTCCTGGGATACCCCACACAGCCTCAGATCAACAGCACACACCCTCGGACAGGTGAGCTATGGGCACACATTCACCAATTCACATGGATATATTTTAAACTCAGTACAGAACAGAGCTAATGTTTTTTATATGCTGCCAGACTATGTCGACTTCCCGTCATGGGGAGGCCAAAGCAGCCATCGTCTGGAGGTGATGCCGCAGTCCAAGTTCTCTGGGGTGTCAGGCTGCAGCGACGCTGCTGTGTCACAAGGCTCAATCTGTAGCACACCCACACCTGGTGACGTTGTCATCGGTGAGTCCACGAATAACCACAGTATGTAGGAGGTTGTGTTGCATACCCTTTGGTAAATTGCTGTTTTGTTCACTTATCTTTTCGATACAACTTGCACGCAGTAAGCAAAAAGAATGCTGTGGTAGGGTGTCCTAAAACCTGGAAATGGAGTTAACATTTTTGCACTTCAGTTCCTTTGCCCTGAGATCAATGGGTTATTGGTTAGATGCCTGAAATAACACAAATCTTAACACATTTTCACATTTTGTTCCTCAACATAAAATATATATAAAACGGCCCACTTGTAAATTTTAATGTTTTCACGTTTTTTTAAAAATGCGGTTGCTAACAAGTGACTAAATGAGATTACAGAGGCTCTCTGGGATACTAAACGTCATGGCTGAACACAGAGACTCACTAGTCCGTTTTTACAGCCTCGTTGTGTTTAAACTTACACGCTTACAAACTACTGAAACTGACACAGCCATGATCACTAGCTAGATCAGGTTACGCTAAGAGGAAAGGATTTTGCAGAGGAGGTAAGTTCGCTAAATCAGATTACAAGTTGGAAGTCATGGTGGTAATGGTGAAGTCATGACCGTGGTGTAGCTTGTTTATAGCCTAACAGTATTTTTTTTTTTTACTTGTGGCAATTGTATTTAAGCTTCAGAAATCATAAAAGTGGTGCTGATTTGTGAAGATTATCTTGCTGAACAAAATGTGTAAGTGTCATAAACTGTTGTTTGTCACAGAGATCATTTTCTGCAGTAATGCAAAGGCCTGTGGAGAAATCCCACTGGCTTTTTGTTGAGGGAGCCAGGGTGATGCTAACTTCCAGGTTGCCCTACAAAAATACGTCATCTCTACAGCACTCTATGCCAGCGTGTAAAAGAACAAAGAAGGTGTGAAATCGCTAAATAGCGTTTATTGTGGTTGCCTTTAGGTGGTAAGGCGATATCAGAAGACGGCCCCGCCTCTCGAGTCTTGCTGAGGAAGGAGGTGCTCCGCCTCATAATCAACCTCAGCTCCTCTGTAGGAACCAAAGGCCATGAAACAGGCCTACTGACGTAAATCTCTTTTTCATATTATGCACACATTTTTTGAGATGCACGTTCAATTGCAGAGCAGTAGAAGTTGAGCAATTTCTCCCCTCATTTCAGGATAAAGGAGAAGTTTCCATATGCGTTTGATGACATCTGCCTGTACTCCGAGGTTTCTCACCTCTTAGCTCACTGTATGTTTCGCCTGACCTCAAGACGTTTCATACAGGAACTCTTCCAAGACGTGCAATTCATGCCAGTAAGACATTATACCTTCTATTCCCTGACAGTTTCTGAACATTTACAGTTGTCCCATGTATTCAGTAATTTCCCCTATTTTCAGATGTATGAAGAAGCAGAGGCAATCCTGACAAAGCTACCAAAACCTGTTGAAGAGGATGTTGTCCCTCCTACAGAATCCTGATCATCATCCCCGCCACCCTTTTGTGTTCCCTGCACATCCCCCGTCCTCCCTACCCTATAAACATGGAAAGGATGCCAAGACTGAGAGAAGACAAGTTATTGAAGGAAGTGGTCATCATCACTCTTCTTCTATCAAGTTATTCTTCAAACTGAAAACAATGGATGTCAGTGTGTGTAAACAAAATTCAACTCGACACGCCTACTGCTGTCTCCGACTTTTTTTTTTTTTTTTTTTAAACAGGAAAAAGAGGGAGCAGTTTAACCAAATACTGTTTTCAGATGGGTTGGCAACTTTGAGCAACACTCAATGATGCATCAACATAATGCTTAAGGACAAGCTGGATCATTAAGACAAAGACTCACGCTGTGTTAGGACAAAAAGAAATAATCCTATCAACATTTTCCAGAGGTGTTGTTTTCCTGTACTGCAATGAATAAGGCATGTTGTTGTGTCTACCCAGTGATTCCTCAGACCCCGCCTTCTTGTCCTTATAAAACAAAACACTACAGAGGGTCCTGTTGTTTTTAAAATCCTATCTGGAGCCTTCCTGGTTCACAGCCTACCCCGACCTGTGATCTCTTCTAACCAGATCTGTGCTTTTGCTTCTCTTGCCTCACCACTTTCTACAACCTGTAGCCTCTTGTCAGCACAGACAGCCAATTACTTTTCTATTTCTTGTATCTCAGACAATCAGACATCACTATTGTTGTATTTTCTAAAGCACTATATATATGTCACATTTACATGTACATGAGGAGAATAGCATGTAATTAATTCAATGCTAGTATATTGATGCCATCTTTTACTTGCTTAGGACCTTAAATGTTTTTCTTCAGCAGTTGCATTATTTGTAAGCTTCTCAGGAGGTGTGGATTGATCTTTAGAAAGATGTTCAGTTGTACAAGCTGTCTGTAGAATGATTCATTACAGATGTAGTACCAAACTCTGCCCACAAGCATTTCTAAAACTTAGCATAAGCCCCGCAGCTTCCCAACTTTCTGCCTTTTTACCTGTGTGCTTCACCTCCACTGCATGTGCAACAAGCATGGCAATTTAGTAGCCCACCTTAATGTGTTTCTTCTTTGTAAAACACAAAAAAATAAGTTGCCATTACATGCTGCCATTACATTGTAGGAATATAATTATCCCTGAATCTGTTTCCACAATGCAATATCACTGTCATTGGCTGAGTTGGAGGAGGGGGTTGTGATGACTAAAGGATTTGTAAAAGGTTTCCAGGGAAACAGGGACTCTGTTTCCATTGGCTTGTTTTTGCTATAATGCTGCTACACAAATGGACTCATGGAGAGATGATTCATAGATCAGCTGAGTGATGTCAGATCCGATCTATTTATTATATGTCTGTAACATAGAGTGAGCTCAACCAGAGAAGAAAAAAAAAACTTATTTATATTTTTTCCTGAAGACTGTATTATAATTTAAAAGATTTTTGTTTGTTTCTTTTTTTTGACTGAATTGTGGTTTCCCTTGTATAATGTGTACAGTATGTTTTTGGGGGCATTGATGACCTAAAGAAACATACAATCCTATCAAAGGGATTGTTAATAAAACAAAATTTGAAGTAACTAAGATATATATATATATTTTTTTTTTAAGAACCACAAAAATATCTAGTTTCAGGTAGGACTTCTACTGTTGAATTTCATTATTAAATCTCCTCTTGCTAAAGGATTTCTTTAGACTATCAGAGTACCATGTAAAAAAGCAACAAACTGTTAAATTACAGACTTACCCTTAGAATCCTCTATCCATGATGTTCTGTCTTATATGCATTCATCTATGCATCCATTTTTTTCTGCTTTTCTAAGATTTGGTCACGGTGGCAACAGGTTCAGCAAGGTAGTCCAGATGTCCCTCTCCCCTGTCATATTTTCCAGCTAGATGATATTTAGTCTCTCCAGCATGTTCTGGGTCTATGCTGGGGTCTCCTAACGACTGGATGTGCACAGAAGACCTCCAAAGGGATGTGCCCTGTAGGCATCCTGGTAAGATTCCAGAACCACCTCAGCTGGCTCTTTTTGCCATGAAAGAGAAGTGGTTCTGCTCCATGCCCCTTCTGGTTGTCTGAACTCTAAGGCTAAGTCCAGCCACCCTTCAAAGGAAACTCATTTTGGTCACTTGTATTTGTGATTTTGTTCTTTCGGTCACTACCCACAGCTTGTGACTATAGGTGCATGTTGGAGCATAGACTGACTGCTAAATTGAGAGCTTTGCCTTTTGGCTCAGCTCCATCTTCACCATGACATTATGGTACAGCATTTGCATTACTGCTGATGCTCCCCCCATCTGCCTGTCAATCTCACACTCAATTGTACCCTTACTCGTGAACCCTGAGATACTTAAAACTCCTTCACTTGGGGTAGCAACTCACTCCCAGTCTGAAGGCAGCAGTCCACTGTTTTCCAGCAGAGCACCATGGCCTCAGACTGGGAGGTGCTATCTCTCATCCCTACCTCACACTGTTGAAGCCAGCAAAACTACATAATTGGTAAAAAAGCAGAGGTGCAATTCTGAGGTCCCCAAACTGGATACTCCTCCCCCCCCCAGTTGTGCCTTGAGACCCTGCCCATGAAAATCACAACCAGGATTGGTGATAAGGGACAACCCTATTGGAGACCAACACCAAATGGGAACATGCTTGTGGACACAATTCTCACTCTGGTTATACAAGAATCAGATGGTTCATGCCAGCGGCCCCGCTACTCCATACTCCCCAAGTACCCCCACAAGATCCCATGAGTGACCCAGTAGTATGCCTTCTCCTACTACATGTAGACTGGATGGGCAAACTCCGAAGATCTCTCCAGCAACTGTGCAAGAATAAAGAGTTGGTCCACTGTTCCACAACCAGGGTGGAATCCTCACTATTTCTCGTGCATCTGAGGTTTGAAAATCAGTCGTAGCCTCCTTTCCAGCACCCTGGCATAGGCTTTCCCAGGGAGGCTGAGTAGTGTGATACCTCTATAATTGGAGCACGCTCTCTGATCCCCTTTTTTAAAAATGCCAGGCCTCAGGCACTGACCCCATTATCTACAGTATGTGATATTGAAGAGGCATGTCAATCAGGACAGCCCAACTATGTCCAGAGCCTTCAGCATCTTAGGGTGAATCTCATCCTCTCCTGGCGCCTTGCCTCTGAAGGCCTTTTTGACTACCTCAGAGACTTCTCCTAGTGTTATGGGTGAGGCTTCCCCCAAGTCTTCCAACTCTGCCTCCTCCTTGGAGGATATGTTATACAGTTTCAGGAGTTCCTCAAAGTGCTCCTTCCATCGCCCAACAGTATCCCCAGTCCGAGTCAGCAGTTCTCCTCCCCTGCCAAACACAGCCCGGGCCAAGCACTGCGTTCCCTTCCTGAGTCATCAGACAGTTTGCCAGAACTTACTTCAGGCCAGCCAAAAGTTTTTCTTCATAGCCTCAACAAACTCCTCCAACACCCAAGTTTATGCATCCACAACCATCTGAGCCTCAGCCTTTTGACTTTCCGGTACCTATTAGAGCTTCAGTAGACTCTTGGGCCATCCAAGCCCAGAAGGCCTCCTTCTTCAGCCTGGTGGCTTCCTTCACTGCTGGTGTCCATCAGCAGGTTCTCAGGTTGCCACCTCAACAGGCCCCAATGACCTTCTGGCCACAACTCAGAGTAGCTGCATCTACAGTGAAAGATGTGAACATGGCCCATTCAGATTCCATGTCCCCAGCCTCCCCCCAGGATGTGAAAGAAGTTCTTCCGGAAGTGTGAGTTGAAGACTCCTCGGACAGCCAGGCATTCCCAGCACACCCTCATTATACATTTGGGTTTACCACATCTGTCGGATAGCCTCCTCCACCATCTGATTCATTTCACCACCATGTGGTGACTGCACTGCTCCTCTCTTCACACAAGTGTCCAAGACATATGGCTGTAGATCAGATGATGCAACAAAGTTGATCATTGATCTGAGGCCTAAGCTGTTCTGATACCAAGTACTTCAGGATTTGCCAGCTTAGTGTGGTGGAGAGGTGTGTGTTCCCAATAAGCATGGGAGCTGTGTTGTCCAGGGCGTTAGCCCCTGGTAGGGTCTCCCAAGGCAAATTGGAAGGAAACCGGGGCACCCTACTGGAGGCAGACCTGGGAGGGGAGCTTGCTGGAGAGCATCTGGTGGCCGGGCCTTGACCCATGGGATCCGGTTGGGCGCAGCCCAAAGAAATAACATGCAGCCACTCTCCTGTGGAACTGTCACCTTGCAGGAAAAGGAATTGGGGTCAGGGCGGCAGGTTAGGTCAGGTACCTGGGTGTGTTGATCCTTGGCTCTGTAGGCTAGCTCCGTCTAACTAAAAAAACATTTTTAAATTTTCTTTTTTTTTTAGTTTCCAGCTTTCATAAACCAAAAACAGAACTTCCATCAATGCTGCTCTCTACAACAAAAGAACAAGCACTTGCCATGTGTTAGGACTATTTTAATACTCCATGGAACACCTAAATGCAGTACATACCTGTAGTATGATGATGCCAACCTTGGTACAGTGGGTAAATAAAATTGATGTGGGATTCAGAGACCGTAAATTTTGGGAAGATGTTGAGCAGGATGCTCTTAAACCAAGAACATGCTCCAAACACATCAGCCCGGGTATGACAATATCTGTGCTTTTAGGGGCAGCTCTTGGAAATACTAAATATAATGAGACTAAATGACTAAAACTTTTGCATCATAAAGTCAGGCACAATGCAAAGCAAGACAAGAGCCATAGGTTTTGGTTATATCTGCCTCACAGGTGCAATATGTTGAATTAGTAATAAGGTAAGGTAAGCTTCTTCAGTACCTTTGTACTTAAGAAAAGCCAGTTTTCACTTTTTTAAATGTAATGAAACATAAAATTAAAGCTGTGTTAGCAGTTCAGTTTTGTTCTGAGCACCTGGGTAAGAAAGATGTTCATGCGTTTTGCATAATGAAATAATAAATTAAAGACACATCAAAACAAAATAATCCTTTTTGCTCAGTCTGGTTGTAAGTCATAAATACCTATCGGGGAACACTATAACATCAAATGTTTGCAATAAGGATATTAATTCACTTAAGAAATGTAGTATTTTTTCACTGATAGCACATTTTACAGCAATAGCATCATACTGCAGTTGAAAATATTATGCAAAATCCTGGCGTGTGTGTGTCAAATCACTAAACAGCGCTAATGTGATCGATTAACACATACAAAATAATTACATTCAATAAAAAAATTTAAAAAAAACATTTGTTGACTTCCTGTCTTGTCAATTACAGTTTTTCTTAGTGGCTTTTGTACATTTCTTGGGTCAGAAATGAAATTGTCAAAACTACTTGTTCAAC